TATTTATTTTTTTTATATTAATATTAGTTTTGCTTATGTTATGTGTTAACACTTTTATTTTACGCGTTGGCATTGGAGTTTTAGTATCTACTACATATTAATTGCAAAGACAATACATATTTAGGTATAAGCACGATTCCATTTAGTAAACAAGATATGATTAGGGGCTAAGTCTCTTTCAAAGTACGCTGGTAGCATCAAAAGTAGAATGGTCAATGGAGGGTTAAGTGATGCGTGTTTATCATTTTCTGTATTCATGTTGGAGTTGGTTTCATGTCAATAGTACTAGGCTTCTAGTCCCTCATTATGTGATTGTTATCCAGCTTATCAATATTGCGATAGTTGTCCTGAGGAAATCAAGTCTCAAGATGAATTTTATTCGATATTAATAATATTGAACCAAATTGAAGATGAGCTCACCATGATCTATAGAACAATATATTTCACATTTGTTTTGTGCAGCATTCCTTTCGATAGGAATCAGTGAAAAGGAAACACATATTCTAAGAATATTCTTTTCATGTCATGCAAAGTATGTGTAATAAATAAAAGCAAAGTTATTCAGCAACACGCAAAGGAAGAAAATGCAACTAAATTTCTTAAATTGATTGCCCAAACTTGACTTAAGCGGCCAACACGATTGTTTATTCGAATATGGTCAGCCAATATATATGTATATTCCATCCACTTAACTTTCATTTGTTATAGAGCAACGATGGCGTGCTCAATGCTTCAACTCGGATTGTATTTAAAGCAAAAAGAGTATTCTGGCCACAGCCGCAGAGAGCAACGAGAGCCTTAACTACTTTTTAAGCCATTTCTCACACACAGTGAACTATGCCATTAACTTGGCCATAAATTCCACTAATGATGGCAGTAGCCCAATATCCCAGTCCGAAGTATTCAGCTGCTACGAATGATCTATGCCCAGTTGGCTCTTCATCATGATGCTGATGATAATGATGCTGATGCAGATGTTGCTGCGGCTGCTGCTGCTGATGATGGGGAGTGCACGCCTTTTAACAGTTTCTTCTAATTAACTTGGCTATTTTTATGATAATCAATTACAAAGTTTCTGATAGAAACTTTTGGCTTGCTTCTGCGAGTTTTTGCATTGAAAAGTTTTGGCACGCATCAAAGAAATTACTGAACGCTTGATGGATGAATGTGCAGACGCACAGCTGGACAATCGAGTGACGGAATTGTAAACATGTGTTTAATGTCAGTGTCAAGGCATAGCGCATCGTTTCTCATCACATCACAATGTCTCGCCTCGCATCGACTCGCATCAAATCGAATCGAAATCGAAAATTTAATTAAAATTCACAACGGCAACCACTTAAAATTGTTGCCCCATTCCGCTCGAGTGACCCAACAGCGAAGAGCACTTTGCAAATTGTTGAAATTTCGTACATTATTCATATGTGAATATCTATTCATATTCACAAACACACACACACACAC